TGCAAGTTATTAGGCAAATTATAAAAACATTTGTTATAATGTAAACTTCTTCTATTTAACTTCCTTAAATCTGAAACTTTTCTCTAGCATTGCTCCACACCCCCAAAAATTGTCTGTATCACTAAAGACTAGAAAATGTATTGCATTCCTGTGAACTTGTCAGGAGTTCAGACACTGATATGAACTGCAGAGGTAAAGAAGTAAAGCAGAAAGAAAAATTATTTTTTGTGATTTGGAAATTTAATGCTTTTCTTTAAATCCCAAAGCAATAGTTAAGTATTTCATTCTCAAATACAAACATGTCTTTATAAAACATCTTGTTCCCCTTCTTGCAAAGATTTGAAAGAACTATATCCTCATTTTCTTTAAGAAATTTAGGAAGAAAATTCAAAATACTTGGTGTTAGAATGGTGGAATCTATCTGGTCTTTATGTCTTTTATGGCTTCAGAGATGCAGCAAAGCTGAGTAGTATTCATGAGCCTTAAGTGCTGACTCCAATCTGGGTTGAGTAACCACAGACGTCTTCTGTCAAGGCTCCTCTTCTTTCACCTAAGCCAGGCACTATTGGATATTTTCCTAGGCTGTGTGACAATCAGGAATGCAAAATTTGTCCATGGCTCATTCACAAGAAATGCATAGTAAATGAGATGTGTTTTGGAAAATCAACAGTGCATGCACAGTACGTGTGCAATAATTTAGTGTGCTCTGGATGCACATACACATAGTTCTGCCAGAAAAGGAAAAAAAGAAACAAAACAGCTAAAGCAGGGAGTCCTGTAACTGCAAAAATTGTTTTGCCCTTAAGACTGTGATGGTAAATAAATTTTGCCAAGGCACAGACAAATTTAAGAACTTGGAGAGGGAAGGACAGAGTTATGAAAACTATCTGACTCAAGCAAGGCAATCAGGATCACTGTCTTTGGTGATGGTTTGTATATATTTCCACAGCCAAGTCATTAACACTTCTTCACTCTCAAAATCTGAAAGTCTGTTTTAAGGAAGAATACTATGGGCTATCTGGATCTAAATAACTATTTGAAAAGGGAGTTGACACTGTTGGCCAAGAAGAGCAGACCAACTGAACTCTTGTTAAGATTTATCTACAGCAGATTGTGTAGCACTTTCAAATAGAATCCTTATTAATCAAAAGCAATGCTTACATTATTGGGTTATGAACAGATTATCAAGAACAGCAATAAAATGGTAAGCTACATGTACTCTCCACAAGTGTGGCTTGTCCAGAGTTTGGTAATTGCTGTTTCCTATGTTCTACTTTTACAGCAGCCAGACTTCTTCGCCACAACATGAGACAAAGAGATAAAACAACCAACAAGCAACAAAGCCTTCCCACACCCTGGATGTAAAACCTTTGTGGAAGATTCATGGATCTTTTATTGTTAATATAGCAGGAACAGAGGTTAAAATTTCTCAAAAGGGACCAAATAAAAATACTATTTAATATATTCTGCTGTACCTTGGGGAGAATAGAGAATTACTGACTTTAACTGATAAGTGAGAAGTATCCCACTGTCTCAACCTGCCCCTCAGATTAGTTGTCTTTTTTTTTTTTTTTTTTTTTTTTTTGGTCACTAATAAGGCAGAAGTGGGGTTTGAGGCTCAGAGAGATCACTGCTTGACTACAAAAAGCATTATAGGTCAGCGCCTCTGGTAATGGTCACCATAGATACATTATTCTCTCATTAATAACAAATATATAGAAAAAAAATTGAAGTGATATCTGCATATTTTGTCTTTGTATCAGTGTTTTCACAAATTGTTTATTTAGAATTCTTGCTTTGGAGACTTCCTGGATCTTATTGCTTCATATACTGTAGCTTTTTCAAATTTAAGTCTTCCTTAGCACTCTAGCACTCTCTCTCTTATGTTATGATCAGGCATTATAGCCATTCACTACACTACCAACACACAACAGACTTCCATACATACGTTTATCTCCCCTGTTCCAGAAAAGAATTAAAGACAGCTATAATTTTTTCCAACCTTTCATGTTCAAGTTAGTATTTGTCCTCTTTTGAGAATGTATTAGGACAATAGCAGCCTCATATACTTCTTCATTGCCAACGATAGAAAGGATGCTAAGAGCTGAAATCTGTTTTTAACATAGTGAGTTACTGGCCTCAACTTCAAAGAGGATCCCCTGCCTATATATAAAGAAGTACACTGTGCTGGAAGAGCTGCCAACTAGGTTACTGTGGCCAAAAATCTTGTGACAGTTTATAAATATGAATTACTATAATTTCTTGCTGTCCGTAACAGGCTTAGTTACTTGGAGCCTTGCTGTAGCTTGTAGCAGAGTTATAAGGGCCCTGATGTAGCCCTTGCAGGCAGGGAAGGGAGAAGTACACAGCTGCATGGCTAACAGCTATGGCAACCTTAGTCCCTGCAGAGGTGGCGCAAGAACACCAGTAAGGGAAAGTTGAACCCAAGCTAAAATGAGGAAAAATAATCTACTCCCTTCACAATGGGAAGCACTGCCATGGTACCATAACTTCATACAAATACACACCATCGTTCACTGAATAAGTTCTGTCTCCTTGGATGATTTTACCAAAGACTTCACTGTCTAGCTTCTTCTGTACAGTTTGTAGTTTTAAGCAAAGACAGCTTTTAAATGATTTTTAAAGGGCAGGTATACTTCAGCTATGCCTCTTCTACTGCTTCACTAGATTTAGAGAGATGCAGGAAACTGAGAGTGTTCCTCTTTTGATGTATCTGGAATTCAACCACAGATTCCTAGACAATATCCGTTTTAACTGATTTGGTCAATACTTTCCACAGAACCATCTCAACGCTTACTTTGATGCTGGAATGCTATAATGGGACAATAATAGCAGGGTAGCAAAGTCTTTGGCTACAGCAAATAAGAACAAGCTCAAATACAGCAGCTACTGAAACAAAAGAAAAGAGCTGCTTACCTTTGGAAGACCTTGAATAGGCAGAAATCTCCAGCAGAAGATGCCCTCACTTCCACTGCCAAGCCTTAAATGAGGTCTGGGAAAGGATGGATCCTGGCTCCACCCCTTCCAATCACTCAGAGCATTGCATGCATCTGAGCTCCCCTGGGTTAGCCCTGCCTTCCTACCAGGTGTTCAATCACTATTTCAGGCCATGACTCAGCATTTCCACTACAGATGTTATCACTAATCTTTGCACTCTACAATGCAATACTATGATATGCACAGATATTAACAACAATACAGCTCTATAACAGTAGCACTTAAGAGAAATATCAACAACAAAAAGCCCTAGGGTAATGACTTGTATCTACATTAAGGCTTTTTAAAAACATGTATCTCTCTCTCTGCATATATATACATTTATATTAATAATCATATAATTATATGTATGCATATAAGTTGCTTGAACAGCTCTTAACGGATGTGGGAATAGCCTCGTAATCAGACAGCTTAGAGGAAGATGCTAAGTATTCCTACCTAGAGTGGTTGGAGGAGGAAATTGTTAACAATATTTGTTTGCATGTTTGTTTTTTAAAATTGCAAGAACCAGGCTATCAGGAAGGAGGCAAATCTGTGAGACGAGGTGATCGTAAGGTGCAGCATGCCCTCACCAAAGGTGCAGACCCTATGGGACTAAACAAATCTGTGCCTGTGAGTGAGCTCATTGGCAGTCCCAGACACAGCAAAAAAAGACAGGACTGGAGTACAGGTCTACAGTCCATACAAGAGAAGAATCTGGATAAAACAAACCTGAATAAAATCTACAACATAGTGCAGGGTATTGATCTAACTGATCATCTGAGGTCCAACCAGAATGTGTAGAGAGAAAACAGCATATCTACATCATAGCTCAAATCAGGACTGATAACTTTGGGCTGAGTTGAAATAGGATTTAGATGAGTGGGGGTCCAGGTGAGACTGATCAGGGATGCTAAGACCTATTAGCTCCCTCAAGCCCCTGAAAATGCTGTGATTTTTATCAGCCTTTATCCAGGTGATGTTTTTGAGTCTTTTCAAATCTTGTCTGCTCTTTGAAATATGGCAGAGAATATACAGATTTGAAAAACTTAAAACTTAAAAAGTGCCCTTTTTCATAATATCATAGAATGGCTAGGTTGGAAGGGACTTTAAAACCACTCAGTTCCCACCCCCAGCCATGAGCTGGTTGCTCTGTTCAGATGGGGTGAGGCACCCACAGCTCTCTGGGCAGCAGTGCCAGGGTCTCACTGTCCTCTGAATTAAGAATTTTTACCTAACATCTAACTCAAATCTCCGCTTTTATCTTAAATCATTCCTCCTCATTCTGTCACTATCAGACCATGAAAAAGTTGGCCTTTGTCTTGTTTTCAGGTGATTTCAGTGTGATTTTATGAGAAATCATATGACACACACTACCCTTTTCATTTCTGACCATAATATGAGCATGAATAATATTTGGCAGACTTCCTTGAGAAGTAATTATGGAAAAGCCAGAATCACATCCTTTGCATCTTGACCAGGTCTCTAGACAGAAGGTTTGACCAGATATGTTAAATGCCTTTTTAGTATTCTAGTAGATACACAATTTACTGAGGCAGCATCTGAACTGACAGAGGCCTGTAACCTGAAATTATAAACACACAGATTCCAAAGAAAGAGTAACAAATTTTGGAAGTTGTATAATCAGCAAAACTAACTGGATAGGTGAGACATCATTGTGAGTTTGCTCCTGCTGATACCAATTGCTAACATATTTATCACAGATAGAAGGATTAGGCAGGGGACATTTATGATGAATTGGTTGAAATATAACATTTACAAATAAAAAAATTAAACGAGTATAGCCCTTATATGTTGTTTATTAGAAAAAAAAAACAACAAATCAAAACAACAAAAACCACATCACTGAGTAATTTACAGGTACCATATTTGTCAAATAAACTATGCACTAGTCAAGAAAGCTGCAGAACACTTCCAGTGGTAAATTTTACCTTTTATTTTACAAAAAATAGCTGCCTTGAAGATTCCCTGGTCTTTAGTTCTTTTTTTTTTTTTTTAGATTTACTTTGGGGAATGAAAAATCCTTTGCAATACAGATATGTTACATTTGTCTTCATTACCATCCAGCACAAGCTGCAGCAAACGCACCCACAGATCCTGAGGCCAACCACAGGTAATAAGTTCAATTTATTTTACATATAGTTATGAAATGTTTCAATTTGGTAGCAAGCTTTCAAGGGGCTAGATGGCAGTGTAGTTCTTGGTGTAATTTGTCAATTTGATTTTCTCTGGGAAAATAATATTAACAGAAAGGTTTTCCCCATTACTAGACTTCAGAAGAAAGTTCTTTTTCTTGCGCAGGAGATGACTATATTTGGCATTAGCCAACCACATTTCACATTTTGAAAAAAATACAATCCCAGTTGTACCCAAAACTACAAGACATGTAAGTAATCCCAGTACAACAAAACATATCACTTGGCTTTTACTGAGCAAGGGATCTGCATTTTGGATTGTTTCTTTCACTGTTATTTTCAGGATTTCATGTTCTTGATGCACTGATCTGTGATGAGCTTTTGGTGGAAGCTTGTAATTCTGCATGTTCTTTGTGCCAATATTCACTGCAGAAAGGCTTGTATTTTTGCTGGCATATTTGCAGGTGGCACCAACAAATTCTGGCTTACAGATGCATTTGAATCCTCCCTGTGGATGTTCTTTGCATGTTCCTCCATTCACACATGGGTCACTTGCACAGAATGTGACACGGCTGCTGCAGAGTTTTCCTGTATAACCATGGGGACATAAACAGCTGAAACCTGCACCAATATCTGTACATGTTCCTCCATTTTCACATGGGTTGGATTCACAGTCATCCCTATCTATTTCACAGAAGTTGCCAGCAAAACCAGAAGGGCACAAACAGGAAGCATGGGGTGCAAAACCATTGTCATCAACGCATGTTCCTCCATTCTGGCAGGGAGAGCTGGAAGAGAGAACAAACACATACATATATAGAACTCAATAAAATTCTAAAGAAAGAAGCTATTAGGAAACACTTTGTGTAATAAGAGAAGCTGGTTCTCTTCAGAAGAGCCAAATCCTAATGTAAATTCACTGAAGTCAATGAAATTGAATCAAAAATGAGTTCTTAAACAGCTCTGTCAATGCAGATTGTAGTATCTTCTGCTGACCTCTCAGGCAGAATTAATACAGCACTATATAAATCCAACCTGAAGAGTTGTGAATGGATTTTAATTTATTCCAAACATTTATCCAAATTAAGCTTCCCAATGTTTTCATAAGCTTAGAGCTACTTAGCTGAGTAACTATCTAGACAAGGCTGAACAAACAGACTAGCAGAAAGGCTTTCTCCACCTGATTGCATATAATCTGTGCATTGTACTGGCAAAGCAAAACACTTTAATGGCAGCACAGTGATTGTTTTTATTCTGCTTCTATTGTGCTCCATGACAAAAAAGCTAGAGGTGAATAGGTACAGTTTCTACAAACAGCTGTTGAGACAAAATTTTTGAAAAAGTAACACAATATATAATAAAAAATGTGATGGTTTCAGCAGTAGCAAAGGAAGCTGTCATGTGAGAACAAGGGCAGAGGAAACCAAGCATTTCTTCATTTCTTCAAACTCTTTCAGAATTTAATTATTAATAGCCTGTTACTACGCTTTAAATGGTATAAATTCTTTGAAGTAATCTTTTTTTTTTTTTTTTTTTTTTTTTTTTGCTTTGAAATGTAGCTGTGCCTTACCAAGCACAAGGCCAAAAAGACAGAGACACCTACTGACAAAAAAATGTTATCAAATTCAGTGGAGCTGTAGAAAGTAGATGTGGTGCTTTAACCCATCTTGTTGGCAGAAAAGGGGCCCAGGGTTTGCAAATAAATCTCAAAATTATTTTCACGGCAGTGATGAACAGTATATGAACAAAGCTTTTAAAACTTACCTTCTAAAAATGGATTTCAGGCATGAAAAATACAACATAACACTTCCCAAAGATTACAATAAGCCTATTTGACAACAGTCAATTGAATATTGACTATTGAGTACTTCAGTATTGACAAGCAGTACTTCAGTGGTACCTTGCAAGTAGAAAGCCTTACAGGTACCAAACCACTGCAGCTTCATGAACACTGAGATTTCACATATGTAGTAGTTGGTAGCAATGTTCCACCATGGATTTCCATAGTGGAGACACAGTTCTTTAAGAGCCTGAGTGAGGTGACTTGCAAAAGGAAAATAAGCTCATTTTTACAAATGGCCCCAACCATAAATGGGATGAGGCTGAGCTTCTCAAATGTGCAGTTGTTGCTCTGGGAGTAGACATCACACTGAGTGCCCTCAGCCTTTGGCCTTACTGAAGATTGAAACCCTTGGTGGCCATTAGGTGACTACTGTAGAGAAGTCATGTCTGGTTTTTTTTGTTTTTTTTTTTTAATACTTTCACATAAAACAAACAGCTCTGTGCTCTCACATTAGCTGTTCACTTTCACGCATGCTCTCACTATAGCTGTTGGCTGCAAAAAGTGCTGTTGAGAGAACAAACTAGAAATTTGGAAGCTGAATTAGGAAAGGAGTTGTCCCTGGACTTTGCCAACTGGGAAAGCCTATAACAGTACGAGATAATGCAATCAAGGAAATTAGCCACAGTCACTAGCTACTGTGTGTGTTTTAAGGAAATTATGGAAGCTGGAGCTGCACAGTCCTTGAGTAACTGAATGGTTATAGTCTGTCTTGGAGAGCCTAGCACCCTCTCTTGGCTTTACAGATCTCATGGAAAATCAAACAAACTTGGATATATCAGCATGAAGAAGATTCAAACCTCATGGGCAGATCAGATTGAAGGAAATGCAGAGGATTTCTAGGAAGATGGGAAGAAATTACTGGAGAAAGCAAATGTAAAATGATTTTTTCTGATTTTTCATGTGAAATAATTTTTTATACTTTTTCAGAAGTAGAAAATATAAAAAGTGTTTAGAAAATGCATGCAACGTTTTGAAAATCTATTCTTCATTTATTACTGAGCTTCATTTACCTAACATTAAATATGTTTAAGTGAATATTGTATTAATAGTCTCCTTGAATAGATTTACAGTCCTAGTAGAATAATTATATACTTTAGCATAGAGATGTTGCATCTCAGCAAAGAAATCTGAAGAATGGTCAGGGGTATAGATCTTAAATTCACATCAGAAACCATTATTTACCCATTAATAATACAAGGTCCTTTCCTGAGATGGCAGTTTTTTCCTGTAAATCCCTGGGCACACAGACAAATATATCCTCCATCACCAGTCTCTATGCATGTTGAGTTATTGGTGCAGGGCTTTGCAGAGCATGGCTGAATATCTGTTTAAAAAAAACAATTAAAACATTTTTAAAAAATTATTAAAACACTGTTCAATGAAATGAATGCTGAAGAGTCAGCAGAAGAGCAAAGCAGGGCTCAATTAAACTTATGAGAAAAGTTCAATTAAACTCAGGAGAAAGAATCAGCAAATAGTAAACAGTGCTTTAAATAAAACATAGCTTTAATGGCCATTCATCCTACATTTTACAAGTCCTGATTTATTCCTCCCTTTTAACATGAAGAACAGATTGTTCAATTATTGCAAGCACTTTGAGCTCATTTCTTTTCCTAGCTGTCACTTTTGAAATGATTTTGAAGTGTTCCAGTACATAAATAACTAATATCAATAAAATATTAGTAGGTAAGAAAGAAGTTCGAAGTAGCTTAGTCATCCTTTCCCGGCCTTGGCATCTCCATGAGCAGAATTCTGATAAAGAAAATAAGAATTAGGAACTCCTCATGCTCTCTAACCAAAAGTCTATCATTTTGTGTTCGTGAACAAACATTTCATAATAACAGATTGGCAGGTTATAAAGACCCTCTTAAGATTTCATCATCTGTCTGTGTTACATCTAACCCTTACAGAGCTGCACCAGAAGAGACAGCTGACATATTTGACCAAAAGTTACACATCTCTTTTTTTTTTTTAGTGTTTCCCTGCTAAGGGATTTCCCAATTGAACTACTACCAATTTTTACAAATAACTAAAATTAAATATACAAACAAGTGCGTATTTTATCCATCTAATGGAGCAGCTGCAGTGAAGAGCTGGCTACAAGGCATCTGATGCCTTACATATTCATGTCCATATGTACACTAAGAATCAATGAATGATAAAGGTTGGAAAAGATCAGCTCTAAGATCAGCTAGTTTGACCATTAGCCCTCTAAACCATGTCCGCCAGTGCCACATCTCTATGGTTCTGGAACACCTCCAGGGATGGTGACTCCACCACTTCCCTGGGCAGCCTGTGCCAATGCATCATCACTCTTTCAGAGAATAAATTTTTCCTAATATAGAAAATAAAAAGGATTTAGGAGCATTTATTTTTCACTTCCCACAACATAATGGGAAAGTTAGTTAATATCATGAGGTACTGCTAAATTTTATCCATGGCAAAACACTTCAATAGCCTTAGCTTTTAAATATAATCTTCCCTGGATAAAAGGCTCTATTTTCTAATGTGTTTGCCTGTTCTTATTACAAGAAAAGCACTTTGCACATGCTTTAAGATCCAATTTTCACAAGGACTTGAATAAATAAACTTGAATGCTTTCTGGAATGGTGTTGTTTGCCACCTATTTTGGCAGGCTTTAAAGGCAGCTAAAAAAATATGAACTCTGATGCATGAGTGAGAAAACTTCTGAAATGTATATGTGGATAGGCATATGTACTAATTGGTATATACATATATGAATATGTACATTGCTACTAGTAATTTACGTAAGGAATTTGGTTTTTAAACACAATTTAAAACACAATTTAGAGTATCATATCCTTTTAAAATGTAAGCACACAGATAAACCAAATATTCCATATCCTCTATTCTCTTTAGTTTTCCTCTCAGAAGACCAAAATCCGAATAATTTAATTGCTTCAAGTGGTAGCTGAGTCTCAGATGAAAATTGAAGAAAAGATTGTATATTTACAAATATATTATGAATAGCTGCAATCACATTACCAATAAATTAATTAACTCTTTTGTAAAACTAAGCTGTCAGGCTGCAGTGCATGAAGTGATCATTCAGTGTTTTCCTCAGGAAAGCATCACAGCGATTGGATTTCAGGTTGGAAAAGATTCTGCACCAGAGGGCAGTGGGCATGGAACAGGATCTGTTGAGGCAGTGTCACAGCCCTGAGCTGCTCGGGTTGAGGAAATGTTTGGATAACATTCTCAGACTTAGGCTTTGCTTTTTGGGTGGCCCTGTGTGCATCCAGAAGTTGGACTGGATGATAGCTGTGGGTCCCTTCTAATTAATTATATTTTGTGATTCTATGGTTCACAGCACAGCAGAGTTTGTCTCTTGCATGTCTATCATAGGCACTAGCAAAGAGGTAAGTTAGCAGTATTAACACTTAGACCAGCTCACAGATTTTTTTCCTTAAGTGACATGCATAGGCATGTGACTGTAACAATAGTCATAAATGACACCAAAAATACTGGCCTACATGTTTACAGTGAACCCAATCTATAATTTGCATGCCTGTGAATTATAAGGTAGGTCATTCTTCATCTGAACTGAGAACCAGATGGCCAGCCCATGGTGAATATAAAACCACTTGATGACATAAAACTGCTCCAGAAAGGAACGTGATCCATAGTAAGGAGATTATACACTAAATTTCCTAGAAAACAGAAAAAGAGAACACCATCATTCAAAAAATACCTTATTCTCTCTTGTGTTTAGCAAGCAAATAAGCTGCTAAGACTGCATCTATATTTTACATATATTTCAGGTGTTAACAGTGGCCAAATGAATTTGTGGGTTTTACCATCTCTCTGTTGACAATTGCTCACAGCTGGCAACAGTGAAACAGTGGTTTTGCCAAAAATTCCCTGGCAAATATGACACTTCCTATAGCAGCAAAAAGGAAGAATGCCAAGGGAATGACAAAAACTGTGTTACTCACAGTCCTCTGTCAGTCTCCCCAGAAACAGTACAAATGTAGCTTTTTAACAAGACTTATCACATTACACACATGAAGCTAAAATTTGTTGCCACTGGCTAAAACATGTCAACTAAAGGCATTTGCATGTGAAAATGCAACAGTTGTGGCCTCTGGACATCACATCATTTCAGTATTAAAAAAGATTCAAGGAATGTGGCTTTTTACGTAAGAAAGTGATGTGTTTGTATTATGACAATTAAAAAAACAGTTATATGTATCTGTCAATGATCCCCACATGAATGGGAGCATTTGTTTTGTTCTTTTTCCTAACTTATCAAGCATCATTTAGTGGTAGTTGTTAATAAGTTATAACACTCTGTAATGACTTTATACATTCAGGAAACCAACACCATTGGTGTTGGACACCAGAGGGTGTCAGAGGTTGAACAACTAACCTCATTTGAGGATACAGTGCATTCACGGACCAGTAGGACAATTTTTAACAGCCTTCCAGTGGCAGGAAAAAGACTGGGTCTTTTGTGGCAAAAGAATGCTTTAGAGTAGGCCCGCTGAGATGGACCTACTCAGTGAATCCATTGAGATGAAAGACTTTCAATGTAATATAACCATCTTTTCATCTGCAGGGACATTCCATTTTGGCTGAGTATTCTTGGCACATCTTCATTGGGATCTAAATTCAAATTGGCAAAGAACATGGAGATAACTCTGAGTGTTGAGAGAAGTAATACTTTGTGGACTTTAACAAGGGATATCCACTTTATACTGAAGAATCATCACAATTAATGCTCATTAAAATATTATTTTTCCATGAATATATGGTTACAATTCCCAAAGAATTATTTTCTATCATAAATACCAACTGAAAAAGGTTGCAAAACTCAGAACTGTGATGATATTTAAGTGCCAAGAATTTCAGCTAGACCCTTAATGTGGTTCTTTGAAGTGTGTCCAACTTGAAACATAACCTTTACTTGCAAAAATCTTTAGTTTTGGAGCTCCATGTCACTGCAAGTACGTGGTCAACCAGAAATCTTCTTCTAGTCATCCTGAAAATTTTATCCAGTTCAAATTGCATCATCATTAAATACTATTTTGGGCATTCATTGACAGCCATGCTCTATAAACTGTAAGCTGTGTAACAGTGAAAGCCCAGAATAGAAGCAAAAAGAACAAGGACTTGGACACTTGTCTTCTTCAGATGCATCTCTGTAGGCTGAACTGGTGCACGGTCCTGGATGCTCCTGCGGTTTCTGCACTCTCACATCTTTTGGCTGAACACTTATTTGCCAACACCAGCCAACATAAACTAGCTCAGCGAAGACCAGCTCCTCAAATTCCTAATGCTATGTGGCACATTCTGACAGGAACAGGGTGAGTGAGCATGCTCTGCTTATCCCTTGGATCTGGGAGGAAGGCAGCATTTTGCCTGGTCAGACCTTTCTCTGACTTATATCAGTGCTATTCCATTGAGCTGTCATAGGATTAAGGAACAAAGGATTATGAGGTTTTCTTTTTCAATAAGTATTCAGTATTAAGCTCTTATTTTCCCATACGAAAATTTACATATATATATATATATATATATACACGTAGTGTGTCATATAAATATTTCAAATTAACTAATATAAACAAAAAGATGTGTCTTCATCATAAAGATTAATATGACAATGAATAGTTGTTTGTTAGCATTATTCACAATTACAAATATTTAAAATAGAATGAGGAGTGTATGCCTCACTCACACATATGCCCAAATACCAAACACACTGAATGTTTTGGAAGAGACCTCAAAGCCCACCCAGTATCAACCCCTTACTGTGGGCTGGCTGCCCCCCAACAGATCAGGATGCCCACGCAGCCCAGCCTTGTGCACCTCCAAGGATGGGGCACCCACAGCTCTCTGGGCAGCAGTGCCAGAGCTTCTTATGTGCTGCTGCCCAGAATCTCCTTATTATCTTGCTCTAGCATTTTTTTAAATTAGTTATCCATAAGATCTTTTGTATGTCTCCATCACCAGATGGGGCTGTTTCACCTCATTTGCTCAAGGAAAAGAAAGGATGTGCAAACCTATGTCACAGAGGCTGCCAACCCAGCCCTCCTCACAGATGCACTGCCAGGGTTTGACACAGCTGCCATGCAAGCACCCAGGGAAAGGGACACACTGATTGCAGAGAGTACCCTGCCAACCAGGCAGACACCTGAAAGAGATAGGAGACAATACACAAGCACGGTTTATTTTTAATAAACATAATTACATGGATGTTCCCCTTTTCAGAGTGCAATAAACAAACTTTTGGATTCAAAATTGGACCATGCAGTGCACCTGATCAAAAAGATAGCATCAATGCTTCTGCAATACTAGAAGTATTTATATGAAAAAAACAAAAACAAAAACAAAAACCCCAAAAAACTGGTTCATGCAATGACAATAAATAAATGTAAACAACTTAATAAAGACTTTTCATACTGGGATAATTAGGCTAAAGAGGCATCTAGATAACTCTGCTCGATCACTCCAGTTATGGCATGGTAATAGAGTGCTGCCTCATATTTGCAGAGAATACACTGTTTCAGCTTCTATTTTAAAGAGCAATGAATTATTGAGGAGGTCTGTTTCTAAGCTAAGGCTCTGTCTGACAGATCATTTTACCTGCATTCTCTGGGAAATTCACAAAACCCGTTCACTGGGTGGCAGCCAGCTTTACAGCTCACACCTAAAAGAAGAGATTTTTAATACCAAAATAGAAAAATCAGCACTCAGGATGAAAAAAAAAAAAATGTCCTATATACATTACTGATGTTTTTTAAAAGAAATCAGACTGCAGAGTGAAAAAGAGCAACTCAAAGCTGCATAGTAGTATTCTGTTTTCTGTCAAATATGTGTTTCTGCAACGTAAAGGTTTTTAATGAACCTGGAGCACGTTACAGGGTGTTTCTATAAGGTAGAAGAACTATAAAGTAGGAGAATTGACATAAAGAATTGACTGCAAAAAAACACAATAAAACGCAATAGCAAAGTGTGAGTGCTCTCATACTACTTTAAAAGGGAAATTTCAGAACAGACACACATATGCCACCACACAACACCCGACTACAGCTGCATTATTTCAGAACTACTTGAAACACAGTAATGTCTTTAATCTGGAAAAAATATATACATCTATTTAAAACTACTTCAAGCTCATTTCCACCGTACGTCTGATAACAACAACAAAAGATTAAATCTCAGAAGAGTAACTCAAGTTTATTATAACGATGTCTCAGCCACTTTTCTCCCTCCCTCAGCTATCTGCATCGAGAAGCATCAAGCCACACCACGAAGCAGCGCCGCTAACCGCTGCCCTGCAGGCGAATGGCACGAGGAGAGCCTCGCACGGCGCATCGCCGCACCTCCGGCCGGAGCTATTGCTGGGGAAGGCAGAGCTCTCAGCCCGGCCTCGGCCAACTCCTCCAACTTTCCCAAGTCGCTCCCACAGGTTACCTGGGGCGGCGGGGAGGACGAAGGGCAGCAGGCAGCAGCAGCAGCAGCAGCAGCCGAGGAGCCCGGCGGCGCGCAGCCTCATGTTGGGACCGCTGAGCGCGGAGCTCACGCGGATCCTCCCGGGTGGCGAGGAGGAGGAGAAAAAGGAGGAGGCACCCCCGGCCTCCGCCCGCAGAGCCGGCGAGTTGCGGTGCGGTGGGGCGGGAGGAGAAAGCGAGAGCGGAACGCTGCCCGGCTACCCCCAGCCCGGCTGTGCAGAGCAGCGGGCACCGCGCGCACCCCGCCTGTCGCGATCGCGGGCGAGAGGAGGTTCGTGGTGGGGCGCGGCAGGAGGGAGGGTTGAGGGGGGGGGGGGGACACTTTGAGCACGCCTCTTACCTCGGGATCGCTGTCCTCTAAGAGCCAGTGCTGGGCTCCGGGTTTCAGAAGACTTCTCTCCCAAAGCACATCAGAGCAACTTTTTTTTTTCTTTTTTCTTTTTTTCGGGGGTGACCCCTGCAAAGGCAGTACAGGCTTGTTGTGTTTCAGAGGCGAGCGTGATAAATAAGAAAAGAACAAAGTGCCCCCAAAGCTGACAGTCTTTTTTTTTTTTTTTTTTTTTTTTGTGTGTGTGTGTGTGTGTGTGTGTGTGTGTGGTTGTTCATAATATATATAAGAAAAACATTTTTACACCACCACCAAGCAGTTTAAATTCTATGCTTTGCTCTGTGACTGTTCCTCTTTCTTTTCTATCTTTCTGTTCTTCCTTTGAGCTGTCCCTCATGTCCCTTATGATGGGCTATTTCTTGTTCCTCGCCATCGTCTTTTAAAGAAATTTTGCTCTTCCTAAAGGACCCGTTTTCTGCTTCAGGTGTGGTGCTTACATCCACCAGACATCATTTACCAGTTTGTCTACATTTACATGCAGCAACTAGAGATCACTATAATACAATAAGAAACTATAAAACCTTTTCTCTAGGATTATAATGGGCTAATTTAAGATTAACTGCCTGAAAATGTGAGAGAAACCAAGAAGCATGCATTAGCTTCAGTTAGCCCATTTACTGGTGCTTGAAGATAATGATGTCACTCAGGTTGAAAAAGTTTGCTTCCGTTAATGCTAATTTTTAGTTTTAACCTAGAATGGGGGAAATGAAGGACAGAAAAAGGGAGAGGATGAGAATGAGTAGTGGTTTAAAAGACAGCACTGAGGTGAAAGGGGTTAGAGGCAGTTGCTACTGCTTCAAATTTCTCCAGAAGTTTGGCTACCTGAGAAAAACCATGCCCATTTGACTCAGATTATCTCCATGCCTTTTCTGTTTGTCTTGTGTCTTTCCTTTTTCACTGATACATTACTTGCTGCTTTGAAAACAGTGGCACTGAGGGACGTGCCAGGGGCATGGTGGTTGTGGGTTGATGGTTGGACTAAGTGGTCTTAGTAGTCTTTTCCAACTTTAATGATTCTATGATTTTGTAAAGGGGTTTATTTGCCAGCACAGCTTTTGCCACTGTTCACCCTTGCTGGGGTATTGTGGATGGCAGAAGTGCATCAACAATTCTTATGCTTGGTTTGCTTTTTTTTTTTTTTTTTTGACCAGGAGATAATCTGGGCAGTTAAATGCCTACAGGTTTTTTCGACATTTCTCTAGTATTTTGAACATCAAAGCAGACTTCCTGCTTCCTCTCTAAGTAGCTGGCAGAAAGGTCTCCTCATATTCAGTATTTTTTAGCACTTAAGACTAGAGAATTTCTAGAATTCATAGATTTTATCTGTACACTCATCACTGTCAAATTATCTGATCTCATCTGCATTGTAAATATGTACTCTGATACACAGTGATGTGTTTCTTCTATTTTCTGTGTTAACTGCTTGTATTCTTCCAAACTGATTTCTTATGAAAGAACATTAGAAAAATCTTGTTCTCTCAGTTCTGTATATGTTATAATCACCATAACAAACTTCAATTTTTCTAGTTTTTCCTTCTTACTTATTTTCCATTTTGTACATGGATGCACCGTTAGATAAAAGTAATCTATTTTTTAGATCAACTCTACTTCACACTCTTCTATACGTCATAGGTGCCTCTTGGATGGCTGAAATCAGAATGAAATTCCATCTTCCCATCTTTCCTACTACCATCCAAACAGAAAGCTGATAATTTTATTTTTGTAGTGTTAGAATCCTTTTTGTCAAAGTGTAGTCTGTCCATTGTATCCAACCAGAACCCACTGGAACAAAATATATACTGATATTAATAAAATAATTTCAGAACAGAAGCCCCATTGTTGTGCAGATCATTGTCTTCTCACTCCTTCTTCCACCTGAGGAAATCAAACTGCAAATCATTTTTTCTTACCTAGTTTGCTGGCCAAAATACTCTGATCCAAACTTCTGCAAACACCACAAGCGTCCCAGAAAATTAGAGATTGTGTTTTTGTTATCTTAAGGATTTCTTCTGAGAATAATTTTTTTATTATTATATTAAGTATTTGCATTAAAAATTGAGAAGAAAAGAACTTCAGTAGTCATCATTGCAAAGAGATCAGTCTGTCATCTTTGGGAAACAGGTAATGTCCTTGCAACCCTGAGAAATTTTCTCAGGAACTTGCTATAGGAATCAGGGCATCAAAGACAGTGACTGCAACAACTGAACCCAGTGAATAACCTCCATGGATCCTTTTCCAGAATCTGAGATATTTTTTTTTTCCAGGACACCACATAACAATCTTGTCTTCTTGGACAGGAATAATGAACATGTTCAGGGACAGAGCTTCTGCATAAAGCAGGCTGAGCTGAATCATGATAAAAACATCCTGTTTCACACTGAACATAGAATTGGAGTATTTCAACCTTCAGCAGCATGCGCACAGCTCTGAAAAGACTGGAAATCCTTGAAGCAGCCAGGAGTCCTTCAAGTTCTGGCCTCGTTGGGACTACTCATAACTCCCAAGTGCTTGTTTACCTACAAATATAACACCTTTTGTCCAGAACTGCAGGAATCTGGAGATGGAGTATCTGCGTTAGTGATGAGAAACACAGAGCAAATTGTTAGTATAATAGCTCCTAAAGGTCCCTGGTAGCTAAAACTGCAAGGATAACAATAGTCACACAGAAACCATATCTAGAAAGCAGACATAACAATAATTTGGGGTATACTTTTCAAATCCTATAGAGAAAAAAAACCCAAACCCCGACAGATTCCAGGGCAGTGCCATCTCCTTGGCAAAGCAGCAATATTTTGTGAACAGAATAACAGTAACAGAAATGCTGACCTCATCAGTGTACAGAGATGTAGATTAGATGTTTGGAAGAAATTCTTTACTCAGAGGGCAGTGAAGCCCTGGCACTGCTGCCCAGAGAGCTGTGTGTGGGTGTCCCATCCCTGGAGGTGCCTAAGGCCAGATTGGATGGGGCCCTGGGCAGCTTTATCAGACATCATTAATGCAGCTGGAGCAGTAAGGAACAATTTTACACTCTCTATGTTAGTATGTCTGGACAGGATAGGCTGTGCCAACAAGGAGCTACACATAGAAATCCTTCTCTTTTCCCCTTGCTCCTTACAGTGTCCCACAGTACACTGCTGCACTGCTCCCCATGTGCCAGCTTCATTTCTGCTACCTCTGAGCTGATTCAGTATACTGAACAGATATGAGACTGATAGGGAAAAGATGAAATCATTTTTACCATCTCCATATTTCTACTACCACAAAAGTCAGCAGATGAATGTCTGTAGAACTCTGTGAGGTGACGGCACAAGCACATAAACCAGAAAGCTTTTCTGCACAAAACAGATTTCACTACACACGGAAATAGCAGCAGTCAACAGTTAGCTATGGACTGCCAAAATATTTTTTTTTACTGTGGTGATTTTTTCTCATTGGAACAGTAGCCAAAGTGTGCTGAGCTAAAATACACAGCAGTAATTTACAGGAATTAAATCCAAACCCATTCCTTTGCCTTACACTCAAGATGCTCACAGTGTTTTCTCCATTGACAGAGAACTGTCTCAGTGCTATCCATCACCCAATTACTACACAGTGAATTGTGTCAGCTACTTTGGGAATCAAACAGTCATAGAATGGCCTGTGTTGAAAAGGACCACAATGATCATCTAGTTTCAACCCCCCTGCTATGTGCAGGGTCGCCAACCACCAGACCAGGCTGCCCAGAGCCACATCCAGCCTGGCCTTAAATGCCTCCAGGCATGGGGCATCCACAACCTCCTTGTGCAACCTGTTCCAGTGTGTCACCACCCCCTGTGTGAAATATTTCCTCCTAATATCTAACCTAAACCTCTCCTGTCTTAGTTTAAAACCATTCCCCCTTGTCCTATTACTATCAATCCATATAAACAGTCGTTCCCCCTCCTGTTTATATATTACATGAGATCTTGGCCACTCTGAAGACAGAGGCAAAGCTTCCATCACAGGGGCAGTTTTCCACTGTCTGCAAAAATCTGTAGTGGGCAGATGGACCACTTTATGGCAGATGGCCAGAACTTTAATTGAAAGAAGATGAATTTCACCTGAATGTATAGACATCTTCTTTAACAGTGATGTTGATCAGACACTATGATGGTTTGCCAAATAAAGTAGAATCTAAGCAATTACATGTCTTAAGGGAAAGGTTAACTACACTTTTGGGAAGACTGATGAAACCATCACTTCTTGCAGCACTTTTTTGCATTGGATTAGCCAAGATGTCGCTTTCAAAACCAGCATTTTTGGTCCCTTAATATCTTTCCATCTAGAAAACATTTCTTTCAAACTGCTGTTAAGAAAGCCTTCTGATTAGATGCTTAACAGTCTGACAGATGTCAACATTAGCCAAGAAGTTGTATCACACTGTATCCAATATATCCAACATTCTTTACCTGTTTTGACATGAAAACAACAATCAATCAGTTGATATTTTACTGCACCTTGTAATATTTTCTTTTCCTTTAGTATGACAAATTTGGTGCAGAGAACATACACACAGATTCCTAACAGTCAGTCAGTAAACAGAAATTTTTTCAATCATGTTAGCGATGTTACACTTTAAAATGCATTTTTTATTCCTTCCCAAGGCTAGAAAAGTAATTTTACTTCCTGTTCAAAACTCAACTAGATCTGAGAGTTTATTTCAGGGAAAGGACTGTCTGTGTGTACGGAGAAAACGAAGAAGAGAAACAGTTTCTGTACCAAGGCGCAATGTTCTTACTGTTTTCTGAATAGGGAGAATAAATGATTCTTTCTTCGGGCTGAAATAGATATTTACAAAGAAAAATATACAGTTTACTCTGGGACATGTGCATATAAAAATGAACAGCTTACTTTTAAGT